CCCCCCCCCCCACCTCCGGGACGTGCTCTTTTGAGAACCAAAGTATTCTGTTTATTTTTAGTGTAGTGCTAGCCTGTGTGAGAGAGAAATAGAGTGCGAGAGAGAGAGAGAGAGAGAGGGGGGGGGGGGTCGAGGGACAAACAGAAACAGCCTAGCTAAGCGAGATTAGGCAAAAAAAATAAAACATGTTTAGCGTCATGCCTTTTGAAAAATAGGAAGGAGGAGGCCCTTTTTTTTCTTCTCCAAATTGGTCGCTCAAAATGACCGCTCGGAACATTTTCCCTGACAGTCGGGCTATTTTTCAAGATGGCCGCCGGTATTTTTTCTAAAATCTTAAATCAGAAATAAATCCGTTTTAGCAGTGTTTTTCATGTTTTTTTTCTTATAAAAAAAAAAAAAGGAGGCGGCCCCCCAAAAGGAAGCGGACGGGAACGCTAAACATGTATTTATTTTTTAATGACCTTATGATAAAGAGAAAGGAAGAAAGAGAGGAAGAGAGAGAGAGAGAGAAATGGGGGGGGGGGGAGGGGTTTGTCATTCGGTGTAATACTGAGCTCCCATTCCTTTATAGTTCTTCGCGGTGCATAATTATTATCGTGGTTGAAAACTAGTTGAGAGAATACAAAGCAGTATAATTGCCAAATGGCGACCTCGGTCTCAACAAAATAATGTAAAGTACATGTAGCATATGTGATTATTTTGAAAACCCCTGGTGAGAGATAATTCAGCCTCTTCACAAAACCAAAATGTTGCGATATTTTTTTTTTTTTTTTTTTTTTTTTGGAGGGGGGGGGGGGTGGGGATTAATTCTTTTGGTGATTTGGAAAAAAAAAGGGGCAGTATACATGACTAGCTGTCATCAGATGTGGAGTTAAAATTTAAAACATTTTTATCATTAGCCCTTATTTTGATTTGATTTGATTTTCTTCTGCATTCATGTAAGTACACATTTTGTTCGATAACAATAATAATATAACGTACAATAAGTATTTTTCTGACAATGAATTATAAATAAGAAAGTAGGCATATGTATATAGAAATTGTTATTTTCAAAAAAGAAATCATAAACTGTCATGAATACTAAATTTCCTCAAACATTATAACTTTTTTTGCGGGAGAAGGACTGTCATTGTAAGCAGATTGCTTGATAATCCGACAGCCCCAGACAAAAACTCATAAAATAGATTAACACATTTATTAAGCAGAACGGATAGATAATTAAAAATACAAATTTGGATTATGGTGATATTGACATTGCAGGTGAGGATTATGATGAGAATGATGATGAAGATGATGATGATGATGATGATGATGATGATGATGGTGAGGATGATGATGATGATGATGATAATGATAATGATTCTAATGAAAGAAGAGATGACCGTTGATAAAGACTAAAAAGTTGACACAGAAATTTTGCCTTGAATATTTTGAACATTGTTCTAACTCTGGCCTTAAGAGGGAGCAATATGATATAGAATAGACTCTGGGAGAGAGTTCCACAGGTCAGGACCATGGTGTCTTACGGAACTATGGGCAATAATTAAGTTCGTGTTTACCAGATGAACATTTTAGAATTACGGGTAGGGTAAGAGTGAATGGGTTAATTTATTCATAGTGTAAAAGTTTTGAAATGAAAGAGGGAGTATATTATTTAAATACTTAAACATGATACTTTGTAGCGAATTTATGTCGAACACTGTTAGGGTTTTCAGTTTGTAAAATATTCGACTTGTGTGAGATAAATATGGTAAACCAGTGCATATACGAAGGGCTTTCTTTTGCAATAAATAAAAAGAGTTGATTTTGGTTTTGGCGCTGGTGGCCCATACTAAATTGCGATATGTTATATACGGTAATATCAATGAATAATTATAAAGAATAGCGAGCGTATTACATGGGATTCATTTCTTAATTTTATATAATAAACCAACATTCCTGGAAATAGAAATAGTGATATGACGTTTATTCATTCCAATTTAGATTTTCATCGATAATGACACCCCCAAATTTTGTTATTCTCTTTCTTTCGAGGAGGACATTATGTTGTAAGGAAAGTCAATGACATGAGAATTCAAACTTATTGCATTGAAAAATCGGGCATTCTTTGAATCTGGTGATTTCGGGGGGGGGGGGGGGAAATTTTCTTCTCATTTGGGCATACATGTGTGTGGGCCTACAATAGAACTGTGTCGATCCGCGCGATATGGGGTAACCCGACACATGCTCCGGCGACGATTACTCCGGTGACAAATGCTCCGCAAAAAGCGACAATTGCTCCGCGACATTTGCTCCGCGACATTTGCTCCGACGTCAAATGCTCCGCCGACAGTTGCTCCGCCGACAATTGCTCCGCCGACAATTGCTCCGCCGACAATTGCTCCGCCGACATTTGCTCCGCCGACATTTGCTCCGCCGACAATTGCTCCGCCGACAATTGCTCCTCCGACAATTGCTCCGCCGACAATTGCTCCGCCGACAATTGCTCCGCCGACATTTGCTCCGCCGACAATATTTCTTTCATGGGTTATTTTGTTTTGTTTTGTGTGATTTGTTTTGTTGCTGCAATATTCAGGGCCGTAGCCAGCGTTCTGAGAAGGGGGGGGGGGGGGGGGGGGGGGGGATGAGGTGCGTTTTAATTCCCCTATCAGATGACACCGATGGGAAAAAAGTGATAAACCTTAGCGAAAGAGCCAATCCCTTTTTGAGGGGGGGGGGGGGGGGCGGGGGAGCAGGTGCAGAAACTTTTAAATAACAGATAAACTGTAGACCTTCTTTCAACAAATAGTGATTTTTCTTGGGCACTATATCATTTAAGGTTATATTTATTCCCTTTTGGTAAACGATGGTATACAGCGAGAGAGAGAGAGAGAGAGAGAGCTAAAAATGTAGACTTATGAATAATATTGAATAGCATCTTCCTGCTAATAATTTCCTTCCTTGATTAAATGGGCACGTTCATACCATAAACTGAACAGCGAACGTTCAACCCATGAATTATTCTCAACAATAATGAGTATCCAACAGAGTTTTTTGCTGCAGGACGGGTCGGGCACATTAAGGCGATATCAATTTTATTTTTTAGCGAGTTAGCGTAGCATGTGAGCGAGTTCTTTTGCACTTCTCTTTTGATAATAATTATAGGCATATTTGTTTACATAAGTAACTGTGTCGTCTTGTCCCTCGAAAGAGAGGGCACAAACACATTTAAAGGTACTATGTCCCATTTGCAGGCCAAAAAAATGAAAAGGTTAAATTCCAACGGCATTTGAAAGTAAATACTAATTTAGAACTTCCCTAAAAAAAATGGGGGGGGGGGGGGGGGGGGGGCTTGAAAATGTCTTTAAGTGGGAAAATAACGACTATTAGTCGTCGAATCGACTTAAGGGCTATAGAGCCAGTAAGTAATAGTCTGATTTTTAGACCATTGTACCGAATGGTCGTATGTTTTATGCCGCGCAAAGATTCAATCAGTTTAATTTTGGCCCTTACAAGAAGTGGGTTATTGATGTAGACAAATGCTCATGTACCCTTTACAGCTCATTTTATGTATGTTATTATACCAAAGAAGAAAAAAAAAGCCAGTTTGTCCCTCACTAGTGTCTAATCAGTGAAGCCTAGCAAATAAACAGGTTTCCTTCATAATTTGAATATTAGGACACTGCTAACGTTTAACTTTCACAGATAGGACATGCATGACATATTTATAATTCCTGCAAATTTCTACATAACTTGATGTTGGCTGCAAAAGGGAAATAGTATCTTTAATGGGATGTTTTTTTTTTAATTTTTTTTTATTTGTTAATTTGGCGAACAAGGACGGTGAACATCATAGGTTATAATCTTGAATATAATTTTTCTACATTACCTCCCTTAATTTGAATCAAATGGGCAAGTATTATTTCCGGGTTTATTGTTTATTCCTTGTTGGCGAGCGAGCTAGTTAACGAATGGTCGAAATTCTTTGGCTTGCCATTTCAAAGCATCTGCGTGACCAGCATCGCTTGTTAATCACTGATGTACAAAATGTATTATATTAAAGCGTAGTGAGCAAGCGAATTTTCATCCTTTTCATATAATAACTGAAAACCATCTGCCTTAATCACTAATGATTATTTCACGAGCATGTAGTATATTTCATACTCCATTTTATTTCTAGTTTTTCTCCAACGTGTCCCGACGCAGCGCCGGAAAGATTTACCGTCATTGATCTTCCTATATTCTATTTTGTGTCCGTTTTTCCTTGTCTTCAGCCTTTTCTTGTCTCTTTTCTTGACCTTTTCTTTTCCATGTTTTCTTGTCCTTTTATTTTCTTTTCTTTTTCCTTTCTTCCTATCTTTTTCCCCCTGCAAAATGGAGCATTTGTATTCAGCGGGGTACTTAAGAACGAGGATGCATTGTATTTCGACGGTTATACGTAAATATCTACAAACATGCACATTTTCGTGTTCATCGGACTTTCGACGGCCGAGATCATAGGGGGGGGGGGGGGGGGGATGGAAGCCCCCCCCCCCATATAACACCTATGATTAAAAAAAAAATCTTTATATTCCTTCTATTTTCAAGATAACATACATGATGATAGGCCTATTATGTTAACATGATACATGACAATAACAATCACAATCATGCGTGAACATCAATGGAAATGTATTCATTACAAAAAAAATACAAAAGAAACTGGCGGAGAAATATCCTCCCTCGGTACAGGCAGCTCACTCAATTATATCTTCTCCCGGAAAGTTTGAATTATAAAAAAAAAGATGTTGATATAGACTATAGCCTACCTCTTTTAAAAATGTAAATGTTCATACTAATGAAATAGTAAAAATTAAACGGGGGGGGGGGGGGTACCATCATCTACCACAATACCAATGCTTGATTTCCCGGAGACGAGGTTGCCGTGTGTTGACGTTTCGTAATCAAAGCGCGCGCTATTATGTAACAAAGTTCACTCACTAGCTCAGTACGATACAGTCATGATGTGCGCTGCGCTAACTAACTCTACGTGCACGTGTACGTGTAGATTATTCTGTTGTGCATCTTACCTGCCCCAGCTGACCGAGAAGAGCTCCCGACATTTGCCAAAAATTGTTCTACACATTATTATCCGACATGGCTCCTAAAAGTAGACTCTCCCAGCGAAAAGCCGCAAGAGGAACCCCTGTACTCACGGCTGGTAGTGATACAACTTCTGCTTCGAAATCATCAAAGTCAAAGAGAGTGAAAAAGGTTTGTTGCTTGTGTTTGGTCAGTTGGTGCAGAAAGAACATGACAGCTGCAGGTGCGGGCCAGCTAGCCACGGGCAGCGACCGGGCACGGGGATCTCCAATCCTGGGCACACGTAGACCCTGTCCCTAGGCTATAGCTGCAATATTATTCCTGGCTGTGTATTAAAACCTGTTCTATTGATTCTCAACATTTCAAACAACTTCAAACGACTGAGCCAACTCGCCTCCTCAAAAGCTTAGGTGGAGGTAGACTATAATACAGTTGATTCATTTGTGTCCTTCTTGTGTGGTGAGAAGTAGATCTAGATCTAAAAGTAAAAAGAAGAAAGAATTGTGATATTGAATGATGTCTGTGACTGTAAGAGGTAGGGCAGTCTTGTCTCCAGGAGTCCAGTAGAGTTGTGAATTTAATGAAATGCCTAAAGCCTCGGTCACAAATGCCATTACGAACTGCCACGAACGCCGTAAGAACGATTTTCAGACAATGGAAATTCGGGAAGACAATGGAAAAACGGAGATTCGTACGAACCTTTGTGACCGTAGCATAACTTACATGTAGCTCCTAACCATGTTATTCGTTATAACTTACAGTTTCAGTTGATGCATGGCCAAAGTCACAGGTTCGTACATTATCTTTGATTCTTGAGACAGAAGAAAATTAAGAGGGAGAGGGGTAGAATTTATACTAGGAACCCATGTTAATTTCTAATTATCTTTGACCTTGTCTCCTTTTTATTGTGTGTGTATGCAGTCTGCTGTAAGTTTGAAAGTTGAGACGCCCGATAACAAACCTTTCCGAGGCACCAGGCGCTCCCCTAGAATCACTCAGAAGGTCAAGGTCTCGCTGACAAGCTCGAGGATTGAAGTCTTGAAGGAAAATGTTAAGAGAGGCCAGAAAGTGAAGAAGGTGAAGAAGGAACAGATGGAGGAGGAGGAGGAGGAGGAAGAGGAGGAGGAGGAGGAGGAAGAAGAGGAGATGATGGTAGATATCAAACCTCTGAAGGAAGAGCCAGACTCTGAAATGGTAAGCATCAGGAAGAACAAAATCAGAACAAATTTGTACAATTTCAAAAGAAGAAAGAACAATACATGTGATAGTCACATCACCATGTTAGCCGACACTTACAAGCAGCATCTAATACATGTAATATCTATTGGAAACGTCTTTCCTGTTAACACATTGTGCTGAATTATCCTTTGAAGGTTAACTTGGGTTTTTAATTTTCCTCAGGTTTGTTTTTGTTTTGTTTCAATTTGTCTTTGTTTTTTCTAATGGCAAAGCCAAGTTTCATAAAATCCATATTCACAGGTACTTGTATAGCTAGCTCATTTGTGCATGTTGATGAAATAGCAACCATGCCACTACATACCTGAAACTTTGAAGATACTCTGAACAAAAAATGCTTTTATTGTTGTATTTAGGCCTACATGTATACGGTACGGTTGCATTTATGGGTATTTTTTGAAAAAGAAATGCTTTAACAGTTTAAGAATGGATGTGATTTTTTTCTTTCTCATTTTTGTGGAATTTATTTAGAGTGACGGTGAGGAGCTAGAGACCCCTGGTTTATCAGAATATGAGAAGAGGAGGCTGGAGAACATATCGAAGAATGCAGACTTCTTTGCTTCTCTTGATATCTTCAAGGTCAGTTTGATAGGGTCAAAGGTTAGAGGTCATTCAGACCACTGAATTTCACCCACTAAGTAATGCAACCATTTTTCCTTTTCATTGGATCATTTCTTTCTTCACTAATTTTGTTTTGTATAAGGGTATACACCTTTTACGTTGTACAAATTAATTTTTGGGTCTGACATAAGTGTGCTTTTCTTCTCTTTCTCTCTCTCTCTCTCTCTCTCTCTCTCTAGTCTACCGCCCTCGGTCATCGATATACCCCACTTTGCTTACCCCATCACTCTCATGATAAAAACAACACATGTAATGTATTTATATTTAATTAATATTTCTGAATTGTTAATTACCTCACAATCTCATTGAACTATGTATCATATCTGTTGACTGTATGTTTCATAATTTATGCCTTGTATGGCAAATCCATTGTCCTGGGCCATATTCCTGGTATTGTATATTATACAAATGATGCATGCGCATGAGTTCATTATACGATCTATCCGCACTCGAGTTGAGGATGGATACACACAGCATCAACGAGGGTGGATGGATCGTATAATAAATGAATGAAAACATGCATCATTTGTTTTATACAACGAAACTCCTAGATCCTTGTTATTTGATGTAAAAAAAATTAATTCAAGATTGTTTCGTGACAGTTTATGGCCGACAAATAAATCTCAAGTTTTAATAAGTCTCAATTTAGTGCGCACACATAAGTATAGATATAGCAAGCGCACTTACCTCTATACCCATTTACGCATAGTGCTGCGTAAGAATAGGCCAACGAACTCAATGCACACGCAGTATTAAGCGCTCTTACATCTACGCGCACTACTGCACGCTCTGAAAACGAGTTCAATAGTACTGGAAAATATTGCACTCCTTTTCATGAAAATGAGTGCAATAGGCTCAGTAAATGAATCACACGTGACCGGGCACGACCAATCATTTGATTAGGATCTGGGAGTGAGTTGTATAAATATATATGTCTGTATAATTATGACCTATTTGTAACACTGTCTATTTCGATTGGCTATAAACGCCACATCCGTCTTCTCTTCTGTATTAAATGAGTCATTGTAGGAAAACTTACTCCTTCATACTGTAGCTCTCTACTCACTGTTAACATTTGAACTTTTGACCCTTTGATCTTTCAGGCCAAGGAGAATTTCTTGGCGCTTACACCGCAGGCCCAGAAACCCAAGAGACAGACGAGAGGACTTAAGAGGTACATGTAGGCAGAGTCTGATAACTTGTTGAATTAGGAAATATCTCATTTCCTAGAGGTGTAGAGGTCTTGTGGTCTTATACAGAGGTGTTGTCATCTAGTGGATACATCACCAGGCTGGATCACATGGTTCACGGTTTTGATTTCCACCACGGCACTTTAATTTCCTTTAACAAGATATTAATCTGCACTCTCCATCCATCCAGGGGCCCCATCTTACAAAGAGTTGCGATTGATCCGAATCAATCGCAAGTCCTCTAATCAATTGCAATTTAGCAGTCTTCTATCTCTTATGTACATAGTTGCGATCGATATCAACTCTTTGTAAGACGGGGCCCAGGTTTATTAAATGGGTACCTGCCTTAGAAAATGAGGAAATTTGTGAATAAAATAACAAAAATTTGACCTTTTATCAACATTTCATACACAGTTTTTGCTAGAATTCATTTTGTGTTCGGTGCATGTTTTGTTTAATAAGATGCTGCACAGTCATGCACACAAATACATGTACTAATGGTGCTCTTTCCACAACGTTTGTTTATATTTTATTTGAAATTTAGCCAGAAGAGGGAGTCTGCTCCTGTGGAACGAAGGCCGCGCTCGCTCAGGATACAGAACAAGAGCCCAGATGGAGCAGAGTTGCCTGAGAACTTTAGAGAGCCAACGTATACCCCTTATGTTTCCGATGTTAGAAGTCGTGTAAGTTAACATTTACCAGTACAGGTCAACCGTGTGGTATAAGCTCTCGTAGATGACAGGTTTGAATCCTGCTGCCTCTCTGACTTGTTTACAATTACAAGATGAAGTACGTATGTGATCTTTATTTACTGGATGCAAGCCAAAAATTTCTTTCATCAATTAAAGATAAAGAAGAGGTGTCGTGGATGAGTGGATACGTCGCCGGACTGTCGATCACAAGGTCCGTGGTTCGACTCCCGCCGCAGCACTAATGTCCTTTGGCAAGACATTGATCTACATTTCCCACTCTCCACCCAGGTGTTAAATGGGTACCGGTAGGAAGGAATTCCCTAAAATGCTGTGAGCGTCGAAATCGGCAGCCTAGCATAGCGGGGTAATGTTGGAGCGCCTTGAGGACCTTGCAAGGTCGATACGTGCACTATATAAGAATCCAATATTATTATTATTAAAGTTGAGCTCTGCTCATGTGATTTCAATGTGAAAGAAATTGTGTGGTAGCGATTGGAGAAATGTGATCATGTAGCACAATCTTATGCATTGGTGTATACTGTGAGGATCTGGAATCACCAAATTGATAAGGAATTGGCACAGTCGTGGTCATAAAAAATTTCCTTTAATGTCTTTTTTTCTTCTTATAGGCTTCTGTTTTAAAGGGATCCGGTAACTTTGTCTTACATTCTAAAACAAAGTCCTGGATTTAGCTCATTCTTCAATGATAATTGTAAACCTTTAGGTCAGTCAGGAACTCCATGACTTTTGCAAGCCGTTCGCCTGTCTGATTATCAAGATATTTATGATTGGAAATCAAAACAAAATTTTGCGTTTGCCAAACGGTTTTCATAACACTACAGTCTATTGGGGAAAACGAGTATGGTAAAACCGGTCACTCAAAGATTTTTACTTTTTTGAGGCACTTCTAGATCATTTTGAAGCGCAATTTTTGTAGGGCTTCAATACTACACCATATCACAGACACTGATAACACGTAGGGCCATGCATCTCAGATTTGTAAAACTGGAACATTGGTAAACGATGCCTTTAAATTGTTTCTCCCCTGATTGGATGTTATAGGAGAGGCTGCCCTCTGACCCGGTCAAGATGGATGCCACCAATGTCAAGAAGGAGGAGAAGACGGATGCAGGGACGGACTTTGTAGAAGGTCTCGCTGCCCTCGCCAGGGGTGAAAAGACCAGTGTCGCAACTGATGATAAGGACTTGAACAAGTAAGTTCTGACCCTCTTTTCTGGAGAATGTACATGTAGTTGGTAATATGGATATTTACAGATATATAGCGCCGGGATCCGCCAGGCTCTGACGCTCATGGCGCCGTACACATATTACCCTGGTTGAAGCCGAGCCGCCAAAGTAACTAGCGCTCAAGCATATCAGGTACCCATTTACACCTTGATGGAAAGTTTTTTTCTTCTCCTCCTGCTTTTGTTTGTTCTTCTTCTTTTTGTTCTTCTTCTTTTTCTTCTGCTATTTCATTCTTCTTTCTGTTTCTCCTCCTTTCTTCTTCATTAATTATCTTTTTTAATCCTTTTTGAAAGGTTTGCCTCAAAACTGCAGGAGATGAAGATGAAGCCTCGATACATGGCTAAGGTGGTGCCGGACCGCATATTCTCCGTCGCTGTTCATCCCTCGGTCGACAAGACCGTCGTAGTGGCTGGTGATAAGTGGGGAAAGATTGGACTTTGGGATGTGGTAAGTAGACAGAACCTTTTACAGCCATGAGATGGCAAAAACAATGTACATTAAAGCCCCACTGTCCTACTTGTAGCTACTTGCTCCCTCTATATAGAAAACTTCCCCAATCCATGATCCTCTTTTTCTTATGTTAGTTGAGAGCTGAGTTGATGAGATAGCCACTTGTCAGTGACCTCGCTGTGTTGTCTAATCCCTTCTGGCCCAGTAGTATTGACAGTCTTTAACACGTAGCGTCTCTTCCAGTAATTCAGTTGTATTACAGTTCTGTTTGTAGTTTCACGAGAGACAAGCCAACGGGCCAGAGGGGGCTATGATATAACATACTAGTAGTACATATACATGTAATTACAGGTGGGCATTTCACAAAACTTGTCATCAGTGACAAATGACAGGTTTTGTTATAAGCTACTGAAATCCTTGCTTCTGATTGGTTATCAGCAGATTTGTCACTGATTTTTGTCACTTGTCATTTAAAAAGGCTTCCTGAAACGCCCCCACCCCCCCGGACATCCTATGATATATTTACATTATCTTTGTTCTTGTACCGACCCAGAATTCCACTGAAGGTGACGATGGTGTCTTCCTGTTTGCTCCGCACACCAGGCCTGTGAATTGCCTTCGATTCTCACCCAGTGACCCTAACAAGCTCTACTCTGTTTCATATGATGGAACAGTTCGGTGTGGCGACTTCGCCAAAGCTGTGTTTGACGAGGTATGCATTGTTAACACATAGCTACTTACTGTTACCTGTTCGACTGTATATTACTTTTATTATTTTATCCAGAATGCTCTGAATTACAAATTGTATATGAACATACAATAATAATAATAATAGTAGCAGTAGCAGTAGTAGTAGTAGAAGTAGAGGTAGTAGTAGTAGAAGTAGTCATAGTAGTAGTAGTAGTAGTAGTAGTAGTAGTAGAAGTAGTATTAGTAGAATTAGTAGAAGTCGAAGTAGTAGTAGTAGTAGTAGAAGTAGTAGTAGTAGTAGTAGTAGTAGGAGTAGTAGTAGTAGTAGTAGTAGTAGTAGTAGTAGTAGTAGTAGTAATAGTAGTAGTAGTAGTAGTAGTAGTAGTAGTAGTAGGAGTAGTAGTAGTAGTAGTAGTAGTAGTAGTAGTAGTAGTAGTAGTAGTCGTAGTAGTAGTAGTAGTAGTAGTAATAGTAGGAGTAGTAGTAGTAGTAGTAGTAGTAGTAGTAGTAGTAGTAGTGGTGTCAACTTATAGAGCACACACCATCCAGGGACGCTCATGGCGCTGGAATGTTCGTCTACCAATTGTAGATCTTGTTTGTTTTGCTTCTTGTTGTTTTCTCTTTTCGTAATATATTTGATTTTTATGCCTCCGCCACCGAAGGTGGTGCCGGAGGCATCATGTTTTCGGGTTGTCCGTCCGTACGTCCGTCCGTCCGTACGTCCGTCCGAGTTTGCGATGGTATGCTTGTGTGTTTAGTTTTACGTATGAGATATCATTGTGTGTCACTTTAGACTTGTGTGTCTAGCCACACAAGAAAACTATCATATTCAGTGTCTAAGATGTCTGACATGTCATTTCTAATCAACTAAGATTTAGTCACACAAGAAAAGTTTCTTCCAAAAAAAGACCCAAAATAAATGTCCAAATTTTAGAGAGGGGTTGTGTCCAAGTAGCCAAACGGAATAGTGCCATCTACAGTTGACATCCAGGTAGCTAGGTACTATGCTCATCTGCAGTACTTGGGGGTGTGTGTTTGTGTGACTTGTTAGTGTGTAGTATTTGTAAGCAAAGTAGTAGGCAGTGTATGGCTCTGTGTGTGTGTGTGTCATGGGTGGATGGTTTTGTGTGTGCAGTGTAAATAATACATGTAATGTTTTTTTATGCCACACAAGCCTTAATTTTCTTGAATTGGACAGGGGTAGACAATAATGTCGTTCTGCCACACTAGCCTTAATTTTCACGACTTGGACAGAGGTATATAATACATGTAATGTCTTTCTGCCACACAAGCCCTAATTTTCTTGACTTGGACAGGGGAAGATAATAATGTCTTTCTGACACACAAGCCTTAATTTTCTTGACTTGGACTGGGGTAGATAATAATGTCTTTCTGCCACACAAGCCTCCATTTTCTTGACTTGGACAGGGGTAGATAATAGTGTCTTTCTGCCACACAAGCCTTAATTTTCATGACTTGGACAGGGGTAGATAATAATGTCTTTCTGCCACACAAGCCTTAATTTTCATGACTTGGACTGGGGTAGATGACAATATCTTTCTGACACACAAGCCCTAATTTTCTTGACTTGGACAGTGGTACAGGTATATAATACATGTAATGTTTTTATGCCACACAAGCCTTAATTTTCTTGACTTGGACAGGGGTAGATAATAATGTCTTTCTGTCACACAAGCCTTAATTTTCTTGACTTGGACAGGGGTAGACAATAATGTCTTTCTGCCACACAAGCCCTAATTTTCTTGACTTGGACAGGGGTAGACAATAATGTCTTTCTGCCACACAAGCCCTAATTTTGTTGACTTGGACAGGGGAAGATAATAATGTCTTTCTGCCACACAAGCCCTAATTTTGTTGACTTGGACTGGGGTAGATGACAATATCTTTCTGCCACACAAGCCCTAATTTTCTTGACTTGGACAGAGGTATATAATACATGTAATGTTTTTTTATGCCACACAAGCCTTAATTTTCTTGACTTGGACAGGGAAAGATAATAATGTCTTTCTGACACACAAGCCTTAATTTTCTTGACTTGGACTGGAGTAGATAATAATGTCTTTCTGCCACACAAGCCTTAATTTTCATGACTTGGACAGAGGTATATAATACATGTAATGTCTTTCTGCCACACAAGCCCATTATTTTCTTGAATTGGACTGGGGTAGATGATAATGCCTTTCTGCCACACAATCCCTAATTTTCTTGACTTGGAGAGTGGTACAGGTATATAATACATGTAATGTTTTAATGCCACACAAGCCTTCATTTTCTTGACTTGGACTGGGGTAGACAATAATGTTTTTCCGCCACACAAGCCTTAATTTTCTTGACTTGGACTGGGGTAGATGACAAAATCTTTCTGACACACAAGCCTTAATTTTTATGACTTGGACAGAGGTATATAATACATGTAATGTTTTTTTTTATGCCACACAAGTCCCAATTTTCTGGACTTGGACAGGGGTAGACAATAATGTCTTTCTGCCACACAAGCCTTAATTTTCTTGACTTGGACAGGGGTAGATAATAATGTCGTTCTGTCACACAAGCCTTAATTTTCTTCACTTGGACTGGAGTAGATAATAATGTCTTTCTGTCACACAAGCCTTAATTTTCTTCACTTGGACTGGGGTAGATGACAAAATCTTTCTGACACACAAGCCTTAATTTTCATGACTTGGACAGAGGTATATAATACATGTAATGTTTTTTTTTATGCCACACAAGCCCTAATTTTCTGGACTTGGACAGGGGTAGATAATAATGTCTTTCTGTCACACAAGCCTTAATTTTCTTGACTTGGACTGGGGTAGATGACAATATCTTTCTAGCAACACAAGCCTTAATTTTCTTGACTTGGACTGGGGTAGACAATAATGTCTTTCTGCCACACAAGCCCTAATTTTCTTGACTTGGACAGTGGTACAGGTATATAATACATGTAATGTTTTTATGCCACACAAGCCTTAATTTTCTTGACTTGGACAGGGGTAGATAATAATGTCTTTCTGCCACACAAGCCTTAATTTTCATGACTTGGACAGGGGTAGATAATAATGTCTTTCTGCCACACAAGCCTCAATTTTCATGACTTGGACTGGGGTAGATGACAATATCTTTCTGACACACAAGCCTTAATTTTCATGACTTGGACAGAGGTATATAATACATGTAATATTTTTTTTATGCCACACAAGCCCTAATTTTCTTGACTTGGACAGGGGTAGATAATGATGTCTTTCTGTCACACAAGCCTTAATTTTCTTGACTTAGACAGGGGTAGACAATAATGTCTTTCTGCCACACAAGCCCTAATTTTCTTGACTTGGACAGGGGTAGACAATAATGTCTTTCTGCCACACAAGCCCTAATTTTGTTGACTTGGACAGAGGTATATAATACATGTAATGTTTTTTATGCCACACAAGCCTTAATTTTCTTGACTTGGACAGGGGTAGATAATAATGTCTTACTGTCACACAAGCCTTAATTTTCTTGACTTAGACAGGGGTAGACAATAATGTCTTTCTGCCACACAAGCCCTAATTTTCTTGACTTGGACAGGGGTAGACAATAATGTCTTTCTGCCACACAAGCCCTAATTTTGTTGACTTGGACAGAGGTATATGATACATGTAATGTTTTTTTATGCCACACAAGCCTTAATTTTCTTGACTTGGACAGGGGAAGATAATAATGTCTTTCTGCCACACAAGCCTTAATTTTCATGACTTGGACAGAGGTATATAATACATGTAATGTCTTTCTGCCACACAAGCCCATTATTTTCTTGACTTGGACTGGGGTAGATAATAATGCCTTTCTGCTACACAAGCCCTAATTTTCTTGACTTGGACAGTGGTACAGGTATATAATACATGTAATGTCTTTCTGCCACACAAGCCCATTATTTTCTTGACTTGGACTGGGGTAGATAATAATGTTTTTCTGCCACACAAGCCTTAATTTTCTTGACTTGGACTGGGGTAGACAATAATGTTTTTCTGCCACACAAGCCTTAATTTTCTTGACTTGGACTGGGGTAGATGACAAAATCTTTCTGACACACAAGCCTTAATTTTCATGACTTGGACAGAGGTATATAATACATGTAATTTTTTTTTTATGCCACACAAGCCCTAATTTTCTGGACTTGGACAGGGGTAGACAATAATGTCTTTCTGCCACACAAGCCTTAATTTTCTTGACTTGGACAGGGGTAGATAATAATGTCTTTCTGTCACACAAGCCTTAATTTTCTTGACTTGGACTGGGGTAGATGACAATATCTTTCTAGAAACACAAGCCTTTATCTTCTTGACTTGGACTGGAGTAGATAATAATGTCTTTCTGCCACACAAGCCTTAATTTTCATGACTTGGACAGAGGTATATAATACATGTAATGTCTTTCTGCCACACAAGCCCATTATTTTCTTGACTTGGACTGGGGTAGATAATAATGCCTTTCTGCCACACAAGCCCTAATTTTCTTGACTTGGACAGTGGTACAGGTATATAATACATGTAATGTTTTTATGCCACACAAGCCTTAATTTTCATGACTTGGACAGGGGTAGACGATAATGTTTTTCTGCCACACAAGCCTTAATTTTCTTGACTTGGACTGGGGTAGATGACAAAATCTTTCTGACACACAAGCCTTAATTTTCATGACTTGGACAGAGGTATATAATACATGTAATGTTTTGTTTATGCAACACAAGCCCTAATTTTCTGGACTTGGACATGGGTAGATAATAATGTCTTTCTGTCACACAAGCCTTAATTTTCTTGACTTGGACTGGGGTAAATGACAATATCTTTCTAGCAACACAAGCCTTAATTTTCTTGACTTGGACTGGGGTAGACAATAATGTCTTTCTGCCACACAAGCCCTAATTTTCTTGACTTGGACAGTGGTACAGGTATATAATACATGTAATGTTTTTATGCCACACAAGCCTTAATTTTCTTGACTTGGACAGGGGTAGATAATAATGTCTTTCTGCCACACAAGCCTTAATTTTCATGACTTGGACAGGGGTAGATAATAATGTCTTTCTGCCACACAAGCCTTAATTTTCATGACTTGGACAGGGGTAGACAATAATGTCTTTCTGCCACACAAGCCTCAATTTTCACGACTTAGGCGGATAAATGATGTGTTTTTGCGGGACACAAGCCTTAAAGGTATTACAAAGTTTTGGGAAATTTTGAAAAATGGGTGGATAGTGATTCTTAACAAGTTTGATATATTTGGATGCCCCTGTGGATGTATTAAAAACACCAGAAATTTTAGCCCCTAAAACACTTCTGCTTTTGAGAAATATTGAATATAAAGATTTACCGGTGCTCCCGGTAAATTTTGATAAAATTCAAATAGCTCCTACGGCCGTACAATGGTAGCTGCGACCATAAAAATCTCAGAGTATGTAGATTTGGTATATAATTTCCGAACAAGAATAGCTAATCGGTCGATTTAAGTCAATACACATTGTTTTATACCTTAATTAAGACCTTGACCTTGAGAGGGAGCTATTCAACATAAAGTGTTTATTATTTACAATTTCATAACATTAGAGTCGATTTCGACCGCGACAACGATCACTGAATATTGTAAGATCGTATATGCTTCCAATATGTTCATTTGAACCAAATTCATGACCCCATACCAAAACGTTGTATTACCTTTAATTTTCCTGACTTGGATAGAGGTAGACAATAATGTCTTTTGGGCATGCAAGCCTTAATTTTAATTTTAGAAACCAATCTCAACACATATTGTATTAAAAAACACACAAGATGCATTTTCATTTAGTTTTAGACAAACACACAAGAAGTTGGGAATTAAGACACACAAGTAGTCTTTAGAAGGAAAAAATGAAAAGACACACAAGATACCCCTTTTTCTAGACACACAAGACAAAAATCTCACAAGCATACTGTCGTGAGTAGTACCGTCCGTACGTCCGTCCGTCCGTCCGTCCGTCCGTCCGTCCGTACGTCCGTCCCGTTTGACCGTTATCACAATATCTCAAGAACCATTTAAGATTTAAACTTAAGACTCGGGAATAGTATTTATCACCATAGGAAGACGATCTGATTAGATTTTGGAGTACGTAGGTCAAAGGTCACAGGTCACAGAGGTCAACTTATGAAATTCCTTGTATTGAGTTTGTTAGCGCGATATCTCAAGAACCATTTGAGATTTAAACTTCAAACTTAAGGATAGTATGTATCACCATAGGAAGACGATCTGATTAGATTTTGGAGCACGTATGTCAAAGGTCAAGGGTCACAGAGGTCAACTTATGAAATTCCATACATTGAGATTGTTATCATAATATCTCAAGAACCACTGGAGATTTAAACTTCAAACTTAGTGATAGTGTGTATCACTATAGGAAAACAATCTGATTAGATTTTGGAGCACGTATGTCAAAGGTCAAGGGTCACAGAGGTCAACTTATGAAATTCCATACATTGAGATTGTTATCATGATATCTCAAGAACCACTGGAGATGTAAAAACTTCAAACTGAAGGATAGTATGTATCACCATAGGAAGACGATCTGATTAGATTTTGGAGCACGTAGGTCAAAGGTCAAGGGTCACAGAGGTCAACTTATGAAATTCCATACATTGAGATTGTTATCATAATATCTCAAGAACCACTGGAGATTTAAACTTCAAACTTAATGATAGTGTGTATCACCATAGGAAGACAATCTGAGTAGATTTTGGAGCACGTAGGTCAAAGGTCAAGGGTCACAGAGGTCAACTTATGAAATTCCATACATTGAGATCGTTATCGCGATATCTCAAGAACCACTGGAGAATTTTCACTTCAAACTTAATGATAGTATGTATCACCATATCATAATATCTCAAGAACCACTGGAGATTTAAACTTCAAACTTAATGATAGTGTGTATCACCATAGGAAGACAATCTGATTAGATTTTGGAGCACGTAGGTCAAAGGTCAAGGGTCACAGAGGTCAACTTATGAAATTCCATACATTGAGATTGTTATCATAATATCTCAAGAACCACTGGAGATTTAAACTTCAAACTTAATGATAGTGTGTATCACCATAGGAAGACAATCTGATTAGATTTTGGAGCACGTAGGTCAAAGGTCAAGGGTCACAGAGGTCAACTTATGAAATTCCATACATTGAGATTGTTATCATTATATCTCAAGAACCACTGGAGATTTAAACTCCAAACTTGTTTAAATTGCTCTATGGCGGAGGCATCATTTTCGACTGCGCGCAGTCAAAATTCCATCTAGTTTTTCTTAATTGTGTATACTTTGCAGACTGCACCATTTTTCTCTAACTACATATTGGTACACAGACAATATATTTTTTTTCTGTGTATTTTTTTTTTTCTGTGAAGAATAATAAATTGATCCATTGAATGTTCAAGAGGATAAACACAGAGAGAAATTAAACAATATGATAGCAAAGTCTACTTTGAAAGAATACCAGAGTCAAACAATAAATAGTCCTAAATCAAAAAATGCCAATATGTTTTCTTGGAGGATGATCTATGGCATGAACTTCCCCCTCTTGTAAAAGTAAGTTAAATGTAAAAATTTGAAATACTAGCCATCTTTTTAATCAGCCCCAGCCAGTTCTAAGCATGTTTATATTGACAGAATAATAGATGAATAAATAAATAAATAAATAAATATAAACAACAAAAGAAGGACATAACTAGCTAAATGAACAAATGAAGGAAGACCTTATAAATAACTAAATAATTGATTAAAAAGAGAAAAAACTAAGTAAGTAACTAGATAAATAAATGAATAAATATTAACTGCATGAGTACACCAAAAATTGATAAAATAGATAAATAAAGAAACAAATAAACTAACAAACAAAAAAACTACTAAAAAAATTAAACAAAAGAACTAATTAAAAATAAAGTAACAAATTCACTGCTGGATATTTTTTTTTTGTCCATCAGGTATATGTGGCAGATGAAGATGAAGTTATCTGGACCAACTTTTTTGATTTCATGTCGGCAGATGGTAGCTCCCTCCTTGTCACTCAGAATGATAGGACCGGAAACGTAGTTGTAGTTGACACTCGATCGAGGTAAGTGACAATGGTATCGATAATAGTTGATAATGATAATAATAATATAGCATTGACCATTCATTTTGCTCCATCGATCTAGTTAACTATTCAGAGGCATACAGGGAGATTATTACCCTGGCCTTAGCACGGCTGTCATTACGGCGCTCTAGCATTTATAGGAAATGATTCCTGCCAGGTACCCATTTATATAATTTTGGTTGAGTGTGGCAAATGTAGATCAATGTCTTGCCAAAGGACATTAATTTTGAAGCGGGACTCCGACCCTGGACCTTGTGATCGACAGTCCAGTATTGTATCCACTCGACCACGATACCTCTATGATGAGACTATTCGATTGTTGTATAGCTGTCATGTCTGGCACATTGCCACCCCAAATCCCCCCCAAATCCCTGTTATAGGAAACTTGTAATCAATAATAAAATATGCTAAACTTCTCTGACAAATTTGCTTTCAGCAAATGAAACACCATGATTTCTATTTTTTTGAATATTGTTTGTTTTTGAAACAGAAAGGGCGGAGAGAATGTGTACCATGTACATTCAAGGAATGCAAAGACAGTCTCGGTCCACCCCACAATGCCAAACTACTTTGTCACAGCTTCAACTGATCGGTAAGGCTCTATCTTTTCACATGATCATCATGATTGCTTCTTAAAGGTAATACAAAGTTTTGATATGGGGTCATGAATTTAGTTAAAATGAACATATTGGAAGCATAATCGACCCTACAATATTCAGCGATTAATGTCGCGGTTCAAATCGATTGTAAAGTGATGAAATTGTGAATAATAAACTCTTCATGTTGTATAGCCCCCTCCCAAGATGATATTACTTTAGCTTAAAAACAATGTTTCTTGACTAAAATCGATTGATTTTCTATTCCTGTTTGGAAATTATATATCAGAACTGCATATTCTGAGATTTTCATGGTTGCAGCTACCATTGTACGACCGTCGGTGCCTCATGAGATGTTGGAAACCCTCTGAATTGAGATATATAATCAGTTGTTATTTTTTCTTGTAGTACTGCTGCATTGTGGGATATCCGCAGCATGAAGAGTAAGGGAACAATAAACCAATTGCCGAGATGCCTCATTTTAAATCCGTCAGCTCGGCATTCTTCTCACCGATCACTGGTTCAAAGATCCTTACTACATCTCTGGATGACAAAATCAGGTAAGAACAGACTCTAGCAGAACTTAAAGCCATACTGCACTACTTAAAGCTACTTGCGCCCTCTATATAGCAAACAATGCCTAATCGGTGACCATTGGTGCCCCATGATCCTCTTTTTCTTATGTTGATTGAGAGCTGATTTGATGAGATAACCACCTGTCAGTGACCATGCATGGAAGTCTAATCCCCTGGATAAACTAGTGCAGACAGGCTTTAAAGCCATACTGTACTAGAAGCACTACCGCAAAATCCCTCTAGCACCATCTCATGTCAGCTGAATGTAACAGTATGGTCTCGTAATTTTGCTGCTTCCCTAGCTGGGCTGTTGGTTCTCGCATCAAGTCCTCTGTGAAGTATGAATATGGTATAGAGTACCAAAGCTGTGGCATCATAACATTTTACTTTTGGAATTTCTCTATTTTTTCTTCATTTTCCTCTGGTTCGTAATGTAATGAACCAAAGCAAAATAACACTGAGGGGTCATTCCATGTCAAATCACCCAATGGTTTTAACCCGACCATTTTTGATTTTGATGAAACTTAGTGTACTTGTTGAGTGTGATCTCACAGCACCAAATCCAAAATTTTAGGTCAATCGGATAAGGGGTTTGGGAGATACGGCCCACCAAATTTTGAGATTTTTTCAAAAATGGGGGTGGCGGGCCTACCTTTGAACCCTTGTATTTCGGGACCTAATGGGTCAATCTTCACAAAATTTGTATTGTTGGAAAGGGTATTCAATAAGGATTCCAAATCTGCCGCCATTTTGAAAATTTGTACATGTTGGGGTACTTTGACCTCTTGACCTAAGATTTGACCTTGAAATTGACCTTGTGGATCACGTGACCTTGACAACATTTTTCATGAAATGTAATCTCTGACATGTTCACTTAAACATATAAAAGTTTCAGAGATATAATATTTTTTGTTTAGGAGCAATAAGGATTGAAAGTATCCATACTTACAGATATTCACAATTAACCCTATCATAATGTATACAATACATGCAATATGCACAGTATAACATACATCTGCCACATGCTTTTTTGTTCTAGGCATATCCATTCTAAATGTCAGCAGTACTTGAATAGAAATAAAATGACAAGTTCATATAGGCCTAAAGGGTTAACAGGATGTATGGCTTTAGGCCTCTGAGTCGGTTCTAGGATAATTACCCCCCTGGAAAATTAACCCCCAGGAAAGGTCCCCCCCTGAGGACAATTACCCCCCAGAAAATTACCTCCTAGGACAATCTGTGTCCCCCCCCCCCGAGGACAATTACCCCCTAGGATAATTACCCCCCCCCCCCCCTATTCATTAAAGGGAAGTCCATCCTGATAATAAGTTAGTTTTAATCAAAGCAGATTTTTTTGGGGGGAGGTAATTATCCTTGAGGGGCAATTTTCCAGGGGGGGGGGGGGGTAATTGTCCTCGGGGGGGGGGGGGGGAGATTGTCATAGGAGGTAATTTTCTGGGGTTAATTAACCTCTGGGTGTGATAGTCCTTGGGTAATTGTCGGGTAATTGTCCTGGGGGGGGGGTGAACATTTCCTGGGGGTTATTTTTCCAGGGGGGTAATTATCCTAGAACCGACTCAGAGGTCTAAAGCCATACATCCTGTTAACCCTTTAGGCCTATATGAACTTGTCATTTTATTTCTATTCAAGTACCGCTGACATTTAGAATGGATATGACTAGAGCAAGGAAGCATGTGGAAGATGTATGTTGTACTGTGCATATTGCATGTATTGTATACATTATAATAAGGTTTATTGTGAATATCTGTAAGTATGGATACTTTCAATCCTTATTGCTCCTAAACAAAAAATATTATATCTCTGAAACTTTTATATGTTTAAGTGAACATGTCAGAGATTACATTTCATGAAAAATGTTGTCAAGGTCACGTGATCCACAAGGTCAATTTCAAGGTCAAATCTTAGGTCAGAGGTCAAAGTACCCCAACATGTACAAATTTTCAAAATGGCGGCAGATTTGGAATCCTTATTGAATACCCTTTCCAGCACTACAAATTTCGTGAAGATTGACTCATTAGATCCCGAGATACAAGGGTTCAAAGGTAGGCCCGCCACCCCCATTTTTGAAAAAATCTCAAAATTTGGTGGGCCGTATCTCCCAAACCCCTCACCCAATTGACCTAAAATTTTGGATTTGGTGCTGTGAGATCACACTCAACAAGTACACTAAGTTTCATCAAAATCAAAAATGGTCGGGTTAAGATTTTCAGATTTTTTGGGTGATTTGACATGGAATGACCCTGAGTTCCTATAGGAAATCTATTTATTCAGATGGTCATATCTCAGCCAATACTTAACATATTCAATTGGTTTTCGACATTTGGACATTATTTTTTATGTTCTTTCTGAAAATGAAGAAAAATTGAGAAATTCCAAAAATAGATTTTTGATGACGTTGATCACACTTCACCACTCTATTGGGTTACGCACTGTTGGCAGGTTCAGCATGAGATGGCGCTGTACAATACACAGTACCCTAGGGCAGAAAGTTCATCAGTTCAGTAATGTTTATGTATGATAATGTTAATTTGTCTGTTTTATCATTGTCTTATTCATGCATTGTGTTACATTTCATGTATTCATGTGTGCAGTGTTTTAAAGGATGACAGTGTTAACTTAAAACCACTGACTAGGCCACCCTAGGTAAAAAGTCAAATAAATAAAAATAAAAGGAGGCCCTGTGTAGAGGAGAGTCACCACCTTTGCACATTAAGAATCCACTGCACTATTAGGGGAAACACCTGGTCCGCATACTCAGTACTCTTCCCAATCAGTTATACCAGGAGGAGAGACCAGAGGGTCATAGCGATTTAGCTTGCTTTTCCAATCCTGGGCAGGCGCAGGTTACGCCAAATAATTAATGAAATTAATAATAAAGTGGTCATCTTCAAGAATTTCTTGAAAAAGTAATACAAGGCAAGGCGCTCCAGATTTAACTGGAGATCTGACTTTGATGAATTACAACCAAAGTATAATCAGCTCACTGACCCTATAGTGTGCCAACAGAAAGAGTTTGTGAGGAATCTTGTGTTATTCTAGCTAGCATTGCTACGGAGAGTGCCATTAACCAGCTGGCTGTACATCTACTTTCATGCAGCCAATCACAGCCTGTTTTTTCCTCACGCTTTCTTCCTGTAGCTTCTGAATATATTGTCTAATTTCTGCTTTCTGGTAATTCTTCTGATTTACTTCGTTGAGTCCAAGATGAAAAAGCTTTAATAACACTGTTTTTGTTTCTATTTTTAACAAGGAAACTGTGAAATTTGTCTCTTTACAGCATCTTTGACACTGAGAGTGCTAAGGAGGGTAAATTGACCGGTGTGAAGAGAACATTGTGGCAGAGGTAAGTTAACCTGTTAAGGGAATTGGGTAACTTTGTCTCAGATTCTGAAACAAAACCCTGGATTTAGCTCATGCGGCAATGATAATTATAAACCTTTAGTTCAGTCAGGAACCCCATGACTTTTACAAGCCGATCGCTTGTCTGAGTATCAAGATATTTATGATTGGAAATCAAAATCAGATTTTGCGTTCTCTTAACGGTTTTCTTAACACTACAGTCTATTGGGGAAAACGAGTATGGTAAATCCGGTCACTCAAACATTTTTACTTTTTTGAGGCACTTCATGATCATTTTGAAGCGCAATTTTGTTAGGGCTTCAATATTACACCATATCACAGACACTGATGACACTTAGGCTCGTAGGACCATGCATCTCAGATTTAACATTGTTAAACGATGCCTTTAAAGGTAAAGGGTTGTTAGTTTTCATGTGCAGAAGATCATGATTCACTGACACCAGACTTGGTGGAAATCCCTTTAATGGGTGTACAAGTCTGCGCCCAGCAAACCCGTAGGCCTATCAAGAAATTCCCCTAGTCTCTAAAATTTGGGGCGGTGCAAATGTCAGTTATGATTTTACCTTAAAGAGGGAAAGGCAGACCATTACATAAAGCCTGGACATAAAACAGAAGGCTAACCCTGGTGATTGACGTCACATGTTAATGGGTAAACATACGAACGGTGCCAAATTCTCCATAAGAGGCCTTTTCTATGTGTCTTTAAATTGTAAACAGATTTGGTAGCTCAGTGTGCTAACAGCTGGATGAACAATCTTTTCATCTTAAAGATAAACTTAAGTTCTGGTAAAAAAGAAAATGAATTCTCACAGAATCAAACAAAACTTACACTGAATGTTTGAGATTACAAATAAATGTAATTTGCCAAACAATATTGGTATAAAATGTATACTGGCTGAGTAATGAGCATAGGAAGATAAGGAAATCAAGGTAAGTAGACCCGACACCATTTGTGTAGTCCCATATACATCTTTCTGTGTACAGTGCTTGTAATACTTTACCAAGACTGGGCCAAATTAATTATGATTTTGATGACTCCAGAACCTTGCAGTACACACCAATACTTAAAGTACATGCTACATGATCAACTTTTTTTGATCCATTCCACACCTTTCGTTTCACAATGCAATTGCATGACCAGAACTCAACTTTATCTTTAACTTTGTTTCTTCTAGCCACAACAACTGGACCGGTCGATGGTTAACTGTGTTCCGTGCAGCCTGGCATCCCAGACGAGAAGATGCCTATGTTGTAGGAAGCATGTGCCAACCACGAAGGGTAAGAACAAATTTTTTTTACCCATCAAAGTTTAAAAAGGACTTTGTTATAAATTTTTCAAATCACCTTTCTTTCTCACACTTTGTTTCTTTGATTTCTATATCTGCTGCTTTATCTGATTGTTGCAAAATCAATATGCATGAATGGATAAAACAGAGGGTGCATCAAAGTGAAATTTTGTTTCAAAGCAAATTATGATGTTAGGATTTTGCCATTTCAGATATGACATAGTGAACTGCCAGAAAAAAAAGCCTCATATTTGTGTAGCATTGAAATTTGCTGTTTCTTGCATTTATACAAAATAAAAATAAAATCTGGGTAGCAGATTGGCAGTGATGCTTCTTCTTTCAAGATGGACTTGTGATGTATTTCTCAGTTCTCATTTTGACAGAGTTTGAGTTCCAAAGAATGTACATGTATTTTGGGATTTTATTATTCAAACGTCAAAATATATTTCATTGGATCTCTAACTTCTGCGGGAACCTTGTTGGAAGCTGGAATCTGACAATCGCATCTTTCAGAATGTCTTGATACAACATTAAAGACAAAGACCAGTTATGGTCATGCGATTGCATTGTGAAAGAAACATTGTGGAATCGATCAGAAAAGGTTAATCATCTAGCATATAAGTATTGGTGTGTACTGCAAGGTTCTGGAATCATCAAAATGATAAGAAATTTGGCCCAGTCTTGGTAAAGTTAAAAGCACTGTATATAGAAAGAATAGATAGATAGATAGATAGATAGAATAGATATAATAATTTACCAAATATATCAATTAGTAGGCGGTTTCTCAGCAAAATTTGTATCATCACGTATTATTAGTCAAAATATATTCTTTCACATGATTGGTAATTAGAGCTTCCATTTCATTTTTTGAGAGGTGGGCAGTTCCAAAATTGATTTTTGTCTCGCCTGCGTAGCAAAAAGCGAGACATAGGCGCCGCTTTTCCGGTGACGGCGACGGCGGCGGCGGTGACGGCGGCGTCGACGGCGGCGTCAACATCAAAAACTTAACCTAAGGTTAAGTTTTTGAATTTTTGATATAATTTTTAAAGTATAAGTTCTTAGTCAATGAAACAAATTTATTCGAAATCACAAAAAAGGCTTCCTCTCCTTCATTTCTCGACCGATTTCGATTTGGTTTGCTTTATAACGTAGAGCTAACTTTGGTACACTAAACTTCTACACAGAATTTTGAAATTGTTCTCCATTAATTAATTATGGTAATTTATGCAAATTTATTCATTTCTTGACCGATTTTGATTTGGTTTGCCTTATCTGGTAGAGCTAAATTTGGAACACTAAACTTCTACACAGAATTGTGAGATTTTGCTCCATTGATTATTTATGGTACTTTATGCAAATGAAATGAAATTATGTCCCTTCCAGGGCATCAAATTTTTATTTTTTGACCAGTTCAAAAGTGTACCACATAAAATTTAAGATATTTGTTGTTGCGAGATGCGGATGAGCGCTATGTCATTGACGTTCTGGTTTATCATATTGAATTGCGTTATGCAGGCGAGACCGCCGAGAGCGTTTCCCTTGTTATCTTTAAAATGAATCACAATTCCTGATTGGCGACTTTAAGGACATGTCAAACATTAACACATCTTTTTATCTCTGCTTTTGTTATAGATCGAGGTGTTCAGCTCCAAAGGGAAGCCCGTCCATCAATTCTTTGACGAGTACCTCGCATCGGTATGTTCTATCAACGAATTTCATCCTACAAGAGATCTGTTGGTCGGTGGCAACTCCAGCGGCAAGCTTCATGTTCTCATGGCGTAAACCAGGGGGGGGGAGTTTCACAAAACTTGTCATCAGTGACAAATGACATTTTGTGTTATAAGCTACTGAAATCCTTGCTTATGATTGGTTATCAGCAGATTTGTCACTGACTTTTGTCATTTGTCATTGAAAAAGGCTTTGTGAAATGGGCCCCAGGAGAGGTCACTCTGCCACCGTTTCATCTGCATCGTGGACATTTAACTTGGTCTTGGAGGTTCGTTATTTCTTCTAATGAGAACCTTGGATCAGTGTGTTCTATCAAGACCTTTCATCCCACAAAAGACTCCAGCAGCAATCTTCATGTCTTCATAGCCTAAACTTTAGCCAAGAGAGTACACTACATTGTAGGAGAGGCCGTTCTGCCCGATATCATCTGCATCGTGGACATTCAAGTTGGTCTTGGAGGTTAGTTATTTCTTCTAATGAGAACCTTGGATCAGTGCGCTCTATCAAGACCTTTTATCCCACAACAGACTCCAGCGGCGATCTTCATGTCTCCATAGCCTAAACTTTAGCCAAGAGAGTAAAATGGTGTGAGTGAACTAGGAGAGCTCATATTGGCACCATTTCATCTGCATCAATGATCATGGACATTCAACTTGGTCTTGGAGGTTCGTTATTTCTTCTAGTGAGAACCTTGGATCAGTGTGTTCTATCAAGACCTTTCATCCCACAAGAGACTCCAGCGGCGATCTTCATGTCTTCATAGCCAAAACTTTAGCCAAGAAACTAAAACAGTGTGAGTAAACTAGACGAGGCTATTTTGACACTATTTCATCTGCATCCTGGACATTAAAGGGAAAGTCCACCCCAAAATAAGTTTGTTTCGATAGAGGCAGAATAATAAGAAAATCAGGTGAGTGATAGTTTGAGCAAATTCTGAATGAAAATAAGAAAGTTATGAATTATTGAAGTTGTGATCAATCAAATACAAATTGGCAACTCTGTGACTTATTATACGAGCTCTCCTTCATTTGCTTTGTGCATAATATTCCATAAAATCATGTTTTCTTCGTTATTGATGACGGAATATATATTTTTTCCTTGCAGGGGGAGTATAGAAACATATTTGCAATTATTATATTTAGGGTGCATGTATGGTTGAAATTTTTCTTGAGGGAAAATGAAAATTTTAGATTTTTTTAGTACTGAGCAAATGGAAGTTGAGCTCGCATGATACGTCATAGAGTTGCCAATTTGTGTTTGATTGATCACAACTTCAAAAATCCTAACTTCCTTATTTTTAATCGGAATTTGCTCAAACTTTCACTGACTTGTTTCTCTCATTTTTCTACTCCTATTAAAACTAACTTAATTTCAGGGTGGACTTCCCCTTTAAGTTGGTCTTGGAGGACTTTGGATCAGACCATTCACCTCACAAGAGACTCGAGCGGCGATCTTCATGTGAACTTTAGCTATGAGAGTATGTTTTGACTTGGCTTAATTGGCACTTGGGCACTTGGACACTTTAGTTGGCCTGGGCCCCCTTTTAATAAAACTTGAAATCAATAAATTTATTTTTACATCAACTTATCTGCAAATTGGATATTAAAGGTACTATGTCCCTTTTGCAGCCAACCTCAAATTCTGTAGAACTTTGCAGGAATTATGAATATGTCATGTATGTCCTATCTGTGAAATTTAAACGTTAGCAGTGTCCTAATATTCAAATTATGCAAGGAAACCAGTTTACTTGCTAGACTTCACTGTCAGACACTATTGAGTGACTGACTGGCTCATTTCTTCTTTGGTAATAACATACATAAAATGAGCTGTAAAGTGTACATGAGCATTTGTCTACATCAACAACCCACTTCTTGTGATGGCCAAAATTAAACTGATTGAATCTTTGCGCGTGCAGCATAAAACGTATGAACATTCGGTACAATGGTCTGAAAATCAAGACCATTATTACTTAGTACTTATAATGCATCATGTTAAGGGATGCATTATGTGGGAGAGAGATAGAGTTGATGATAATTATGAATGATATATAGATACAAACGGGTAAACATGATTTTTACGATGTGTAAATTTTCAAGAATGTAAAACGTTGTGTAAGGTAAATGTAGTAATACTCTGTCGACTTGGATAGTTAAGGCAAATGTAGTTTCACAGGAAACTGGTGCTGTTTAAAGATAAAGTTGAGTGCTGACCATTGCACTGTGAAATGAAGTGTGAGGAAGTGATGGGAAAAGGTTGATCATGTAGCAGATAAATATTTGTGTAGACTGTGAGGTTCTGGAATCATCAAAATGTTAAGAAATGGCCCAGTTTTACAATATGTCACATGCTCTGTAAACAGAAATACGTTATACATGGGACTACACAAACTTGTGGCAAGAAATATTGTTACAAATTAATTATCAATGATAGTATGATACAAACAGTAAGAAAAAAATTATACAAAATCAGAAAATATTTGTATACAGACATTAGTCTGAAGAAGTCTTCTCATTTGAGGAGATACATATTGCAAATGGTTTTATATTCATCATGCAGTATTACTTTGAAAAGAAAAGGAAAGGGGCAAAATATAATCATGAAAGTCTTGTTCTGTAGAGTGTATTGACTATGTACATTTTTTCTGAAAATTAGTCTTGTATTTGTTATACGTGTAGATGGTGTTAATATATAGTCACCTTTGTGAGTTTTGTATTATTAAAGAGTGTAAATAAAGCTTTTCTATTAACAAGATTTTATTTGTCATCCCATCATATTTGAGTAATATACATTATGCCATCAAAACATGAGTGATGATGATTGGTACTCGATTGACTGAGAGGAGATAGAAAGAAGGAAGAAGAGAAGAGGGTACAGAAGGAAAATGAATTAAAGGAAATCAAGAGCAAGGATATTGTGGTTGAGAAGGAGTTGAGATAATAAGAAGCATTGTTGCCATACTGTGTATTGTACAGAGCCATCTCTTGCTGAACCTGCCAACTGCTTAACACAAAATCGTGTCAGAAAAAATTCAACCTTGTCACCAAAACCAAAATTTAGCGATTTTGTGTGCATTTTGGGGGTGATTTTGAAGAAAAAAAGGTAAATGAAATGAATAAAGGAGGAAGTGAGAGAGGAAAAACATCCGTTTTGACCAGCTATAATCAGATCTAGAAGTTCATATGGATCTAAGACACACAATATCCACCAGTGAAGGTGATTTTACATATATATTGTTTCATACAAGTCCACTGAGGAATTAATTTCAAAGAGGTAAAATGAAATCGGGAAGCATATTACAAAGTGGCAGAATATTTATAGGTTTTTTCTGTGATTCGTAATGTGTTAAATGCTTTGTTGGTTCACAGATTTTAAAGAAATGCGGGTTCTCATTTTCATGTTACGTCTTGTGATGTATTAGGTTCGGTAACATAAAACGATTAATGTCAGAGAATATATATATTGTGTTAAAATGAATTAAACTGTCTCTTTAAAGTTAAAGCTATAAATTTATTTTCGACAACACAAATGTAACACATATTTAGTAAATCTTTATTTTGATGTTCTGACAAATAAAACATTTGACCTTTCAAGATGATTTTTTGTTTTTTTTGGGGGGGGGGGGGGGGTACATATACAATTTGTGACAAAAAACCCATAGACAAAAATATATTTTGAAGTTAAAAACAGTATTACAAATATCAGTTTTCACTTGCATCGATATCGAATATTCTTTGAATTTTGCCACGTTAGGTAATCTAGGTGATGCTTTCCTCTACCCAATTTCCTTAACATCATTTTCCTTTTGTACCATCTCTTCTCAATCAATCACATACCTATCCTCATCACTCCTGTTTTTTCAGCATTATATACTCAAATAGGTTCTAGGACAATCACCCCCGACCAATTACCCCCCCCCCCCCAAGGACAATTACCCCCAAGAAAAAAAACCTATACCTATCCTCATCACTCCTGTTTTTTCAGCATTATATAGTCAAATAGGTTCTAGGACAATCACCCCCAACCAATTACCCCTCCCCCCCCCCCAGGACAATTACCCCCAAGAAAAAAAAACCTATACCTATCCTTATCACTCCTGTTTTTTCAGCATTATATACTCAAATAGGTTCTAAGACAATTACACCCTGGGCAATCATCCCCCCCCCCCCCTGAAAATTAACCCCTATATTAAAACCAACTTATTATCAGGGTAAATTTTACCTTAAATGAACAGGAGGGGGAGGGGGGGGGGGGTTGTAGGGTGTAATTTTTAGGGCTGTGGGGTTATTGTCCTTGGGGGAGGGGGGTGGTTAGTTTTTGAAGGGGTGATTGTCCCGATACGACTCAAATATGATGGGATGACAACTTAAATCTTGTTAATGGAAAAGCTTTATTAACAATTTACAATACTAATAAAAGTTACTGTTCATGTATATTTTTCATATCTACCCGTAAAGCGACAACATAAATATTTTTCATAAAAACTGTACATCAATATACTTTACATAAGAAGACTTTACAACTTCTTTTCTTCTCTTTTATTTTTCTTTAAAGTAATACTGCATGATAAACATAAACATAAACATTTGGCACGTGCATCTCCTCAAATGAGACAACTTTTTAGACTAAATTATTTTCTGTTTTTGTATAATTTAGTCCTTTATTTTTTCTTACTATTGGTACAAATAATAATTAATTTGTACACACATTTCTTGCCACAAGTTTGTGTAGTCCCATATACAAATTTCTATGTACAGTGCATATGATCTATAGCAAACCTGAGCCAATTTCTTACCCGTTCTGATGATTCCAAAACCTCACGGTATACACCAATAATTATCTGCTACATGATCAACCTTTTACAATCTCTTCCTTACGGATCATTTCACAATGCAATGGTCAGAACTGAAATTTGGGATCAATTCTCTACTCCTCCTCCTCCCCTCCCCCCCCCCCCCCCCCCCCCCCATCACGGGACTCAAATTTTCCAATCTCTCCTTGGAAAAAGGATTCTTGTCCCTGTAGTAGTTTCAAAGCTTTTGGCACAGACAAGACTTTTATATTGTTATGGACAGAAATTAAAGTGGAAATTAGCTACTGGGTTACGCACTATATGAAAGTTGACTATTAGATGGCCCTGCAATATACAGTATGCTACTGCAGAAAGTTCATTAGTTCAGTATTGCTTTAATAACAAATTTGCAGATAAGTCGATGTAAAAATAAACTTTCACCAAGAAGGCATCAAGCTTCCAGCTCATTAGAAGTAATAATGGACCTCCAAGCCCAACTTAAATGTCAGCATTGCAGATAAAATCATGTCAGAGTGACTCTCCCGGGGGACATTTCACAGAACTTGTCATCAGTGTCAAACGGCAGGTTTTGTTATAAGCTACTGAAATCCTTGCTTCTGATTGGTTATCAGCAGATTTGTCACTGATTTTTGTCATTTGTCATTGAAAAAACGCTTTGAGAAACGGGCCCCTAGTCTACGCCATGAAGACATAGAGCTTCCCGCTGGAGTTTCCACCGCCTCCACCCACCAGCAGATCTCTTGTAGGATGAAATTTGTTGATAGAACACACCGATGCGAGGTGCTCGTCACAGAAATGATGGAGGGGCTTCCCTTTGGAGCTGAACACCTCAATCTAAAACAAAAGCAGAGATAAAAAGATGAGTTATTGTTTAACATGTCATTCAAGCCGCTAATCAGTAATTGTGATTCATTTTATTGTTGTATGAAAGACGAGATTGTAAGATTCCATCTTCCAACAAGGTTCCTGCAGAAATTGAAGAACCAATTTATGAAATTCCATGACCTTCCATGACCCATATTGGCCTTTATCACTGACCAGATACAAAGTATACAGTCAAACCTGTCTATAGCGACCACCCAAGGGAAACACAAAAAGTGGTCTTTGCATGTATACAGGTTCCTTTAGTGAATGTTTCAATGAGAAACCATTTCCAAGGGAAACTAAAAATGTAGTCCTCGTAGACAGGTGGTGACTAAAGCAGGTTTGACTGTATCTTTAATGTTGTATCAAGACGTTCTGAAAGATGCAATTGTAAGATTCCAGCTTCCAAGAAGGTTGCCGCAGAAATTGGAGAACCAATTTATGAAATTCCATGCACTATGAACATGACGACAAAGAAAGCGCAGGTAGACAAAGGAACATCTCTTCACTGCTATTATGTAAAAAGGTGAATATGCATGTGACACCTGTTCTACACATTTTTACATAATAGCAGTGAAGGGATGATCCTTTGTCTACCTGGGGAACTGTATATTTTGTCCGCTCTCTTTGTCAGTCATGTTCATAGTGATGACTTTCCATGACTGTCCATGACCCATTTTTGCCTTTATCACTGACCAGATACAAAGTACTATTCACTATGAATATGATGGACAAAGAAAGAGGACAAAATATACAGGTCCTCATTCTACCCTCAACAATGGCTGTGGTAGACAAAGGAACATTCTTCACTGCTATTATGTAAACATGTGTAGAACAGGTGTCACGTGCATATTCACCCGTTCCACACATTTTTACATAATAGCAGTGAAGGGATGTTCCTTTGTCTACCACAGCAATTGTGAGGGTAGAATGAGGAACTGTATATTTTGTCCTCTTTCTTTGTCTGTCATGTTCATAGTGATTTTGGTATGGGTTGTGGCATCCAAGCAGTGTACATTGTACATACCACACCCATTGTCCATTCAAACTGAAAGGGTGCCATAGCCACACACGGTCCAAACCCACAATTAATTTTGACAACTTTCCATGACTTTGGCAGATTTTTTCCCTTCACATTTCTGTATCTGATTACTCAGAGATCAGTGAATACGTCTAGGACCATTGTTACATGCCATTGTCATTCTTTAACATGTTACAAAAACAGGTGTTTATTTATCGGCGGTTTACCACGTTTTATCTAAGCGAGCCTTATCAAGTGGCAACTCTTTGAAAAACATAACATCAAAGTTTGCTATAACAATTTTATTTTTTCACCATTGATAAACTGTCTGTTTGACCTATTAATGCATATTGACTTTGCACCACTCAAAGAAAGCAGCAGGTAAAGAAATCAAGGAAACAAAGTGAGAGAAAGAAAGGTGATTTGTAAAAATTATAACACAGTCCGTTTTAAGCTTTGAAGGGTAAAAGAACGATTTCTTACCCTTCGTGGTTGCGACAAGCTACCTACAACATAAGCATCTTCTCTTCTGGGATGCCAGGCTGCTTGGAATCCTGTTAACGCTCGACCGGTCCGGTTGTTATGACTAGAAGACACAAATTTAAGATGAAAAGATCGTTCATCCAGCTGTTGATTCACTGAGCTATCAAAGCTTTTGTGCATTCATAAACATGTTAACTTATGCAATTGTTCCTTCAGTTTATGTAATTAATTAATTCATTAATTAGTTCATTCATTCTTTCATTCATGCTTACATTCTTTCATTCATTCATTAATCCAAGCAATCATTAATTCACACACTCATTCATTCATGCATTCATTCTCTCATTATTTCATACATTCTTTCATTATTTCATACATTCATTCATCCATCCATTCATGCACTCATTCATTCATTAATTTAATTCATTCATTCATTCATTTATTTGTGCATTCTTTCATGCATGCATTAATTCGTTCATTGCTGCATTATTTGTTCATTAATCATAATGCATGCATCCATCCATGCACTCATTAATTCATAAATCCATTCAATCATTCATGCACTCATTCATTCATTTGTTTATTCATTCATTCATTAAATCATTCATTAATTCAAGCACTCATTCATTTGTTAATTCATTGATTCATTCAATCATTCATGCATTCATTAATCCATGCACTCATTCATTCATGCATTCATTAATCCATGCACTCATTCATTCATTCATGCACTCATTCATTCATTCATTCATTCAATCATTCATTCATTCATTCATGCACTCATTCATTCATGCATTCATGCATTCATTCATGCACTCATTCATTCATTCACGCACTCATTCATTCAATCATTCATGCATTCATTCATTCAATCATTCATTCATGCATTCATTCAATCATTCATGCACTAATTCATTCATTCACGCACTCATTCATTCAATCATTCATGCATTCATTCAATCATTCATTCATGCACTCATTCATTCATGCATTCATTCAATCATTCATGCACTCATTCATTCATGCACTCATTCATTCAATCATTCATGCATTCATTAATCCATGCACTCATTCATTCATGCATTCATGCATTCATTCAATCATTCATGCACTCATTCATTCATTCACGCACTCATTCATTCAATCATTCATGCACTCATTCATTCATTCACGCACTCATTCATTCAATCATTCATGCATTCATTCAATCATTCATTCATGCACTCATTCATTCACGCATTCATTCAATCATTCATGCACTCATTCATTCATGCACTCATTCATTCAATCATTCATGCATTCATTCATTCAATCATTCATGCATTCATTAATGCATGCACTCATTCATTAATCCATGCACTCATTCATGCACTCATTCATCCATTCATTCATTCAATCATTCATTCATGCATTCATTAATGCATGCACTCATTCATTCATGCACTCATTCATTCAATCATTCATTCATGCACTCATTCATTCATGCATTCATTCAATCATTCATGCACTCATTCATTCATTCATGCACTCATTCATTCAATCATTCATGCACTCATTTATGCATGCAATCATTCATTTATTCATTCATTCCTGTATACATTTACTAGTTCATTCATTCGTCCATTTATAAATCCATCCATTAACCCATCCATCCACCCACCCATCCATTCATTCACTCATTCATTCATTCATTCACTCATTCATTCATTCATTCATTCATTCATCCATTCATCCATCCATCCAGTCTTTGTCCCCATATGGTAAAGTCATAACTAATATTTGCAACACCCCAACACTCTCCAAGAGACTAGGGGGTATTTTTGGCTAGGCCTATGGATTTGCTGTGGGCATTAAAAGGATTTCCACCAAGTCTGGTGTCATTGCATCTTCTGCACATGGAAACTGACGACCCTCTCCCTTTAATAAAAGTAACAAGTCAAACCGTAGCATCGCTGGTTACCAATGGCCTATATTTAGCAATTTTGTTTCATATTTAATGAGCTGTGACCTATGACCAAAAAAGTTATACTCACATTACTCACATTATTGAATAAAAACCACATTTTTGGCATATGTAATTACAGTAGGTATTTTAACATATTTAGTGAGCTATCATCTTTGACCTACATACTCCAAAATTGAATTTAGGCTGTGTTTTGATTCCATGTACCTTTGTGTCAAATTTCATTAAAATTGAAAGGAAACCTGATTTGTTACGAAAGGATGGGCAGCAGCGTCACTATATCCCCTCCGACTTGTCGGCGCGGAGGGGATAATGAAGCTTTCATAAAACTTACCTCTGCCACAAAGTTCTCTTCACATCAGACATCCCACCATCCTTTGCACTCTTAGTGTCAAAGATGCTGTAAAGAGACACATTTCACAGTTTTCTTGTTAAGAATAGCAACGAAAACAGACATATTAAAGCTTTTTCATCTTGCACTTGTCAGAGTAAATCGTAAGAATGAACAGAAAGTAGAAATTGGACAATATATGCATAAGCTACAGGAACAAGGCGTGAGGAAAAAAACCGGGCTGTGATTGGCTGCATGAAAGTAGACGTACAACCAGCTGGTTAAGGACAATGTCTGTAGCAATGCTAGCTAGAATAACACAAGATTCCTCACAAACTCTGTTGGTACACTAGAGGGTCAGTGAGCTGATTATACTTTGGTTGTAATTCATCAAAGTCATATCTGCAGTTAAATCTGGAGCACCTTGCCTTGTGATACCCTTTTTCAAGAAATTCTTGAAGATGGTCACTTTATTATTCATTTCATTAGTTATTTGGCTTAACCTGCGCCTGCCCGGGAGTGGAAAAGCAAACTGAATCAATTTAACCCTCTGACCTAAAAGATCCTCCCAGTATAAGTGATTGGGAGGAGGTAGACCAGAACTCAACCTTCTCTTTAAGTTCTGCTACGTTCTGTTAATCTTACCTGATTCTGTCATCCAGAGATGTTGTAAGGATCTTTGAACCAGTGATCGGTGAGAAGAATGCCGAGCTGACGGATTTACCATGAGGCATCTCTGCAATTGGTTTATTGATTCCCTTACTCTTCATGCTGCGGATATCCCACAATGCAGCAGTACTACAAGAAAAAATAACAACTGATTATATATCCCAATTCACCTGGGTTTCCAGCATTTCATGAAGATAAGAGTTCCGTCTTTTTCTCCCGACTTTTCTATGACGATCATGAAGTTTCAAAATTCTGGGATTTACACCAACAAGAACACAGAAACAGACATACACATTCCTGATTTTACTAAAATATTCTCAGGTTTCGTGATTTTAGAAGATCTATGTAGGCACCATCATAATATGATGTTTATCTTTTATTGGCTCTTGAACTCAAAATGAATCTATCGCACTTTCCAATTCGCTGGATTTGACGTAACCTGTGCCTAACTGTGAGGGAGAAATATAGATACCAGTAAGGCAAACATGAAATCGAAATAGTGTTTCTTTGTCTACTGTTTCCACTGTTCCTAAGTAAACAGAAGATTGCAGCCATAGTTCCTAAAACAAGGACATTTTAAGATGGAAACATTCACTAATCTATTTCTGTAATTTTTCTGCCTTTATGAAAACCAACTAAGTACCTAGTTGGAATTCCCCTGCTAATGTAAAGACTACATTAAGTGTTTTTAATGTATAAATAACTGGCAAGTGTGCGCAACAATGGTCCTACACTTATTCACTGAGCTCCAAGTTATAAGATACAGAAATGGAAAGCGTATTATACAGTACGTCATCATTAATATACTATTATACAACACCTACGTGGATCCTTGTCATTTGATTGGAGGATTGTTGGTCACATGATATTTAATAGATGTTCTATTGCACGGGCGTGCATTTTTGGTTGCATGCGGACTGCGTACCTCTCTGCCATGCGCGTATCCCTGCGTGTATCTGACGCGAAGGCAATCTGAATGCATGTAATCGAGAAGGCTTGACTCCATTTTTAACTTATCTTTAAAGCCCCATTGTCCTACTTGTAGCTACTTGCTCCCTCTATATAGAAAACTTCCCCAATAGGTGCCTGTTGGTCCCCCATATCCTCTTTTTCTTATGTTAGTTGAGAGTTGAGTTAATGAGATAGCCACCTGTTAGTGACCTCGCTGTGTGGTCTAATCCCTTCTGGCCCAGTAGTATTGACGGTCTTTAATATAAGGAGTAAAGCATAATTTGTTGATTAACGTTACATTAGATCTTCTTCGATGTTGTATGAAACAAATAATGAATGGTTTTCATTCGTTCAATAGTGCAAATATTTTCATTCGTTGAAAGATTAACGTTAATTCTATTATCTCACAACCTTTCATTATTTGTATACTACCGTTTTGTAGAGTCATATCTGAATAAGGCTTAAGAAGCAATCATGATGATCATATAAAAGATAGAGGCTTACCGATCAGTTGAAGCTGTGACGAAGTAGTGCGGCATTGTGGGGTGGACCGAGACGGTCCTTGCATTGCTTGAATGTACATGGTAAACATTCTCTCCACCCTTTCTGTTTCTAAAAGAAACAATTTTCAAAAATGGTATTTGATTTGTTGAATAATAATAATAATATTTAGTTTTTATATAGTGCTTAATACAAATGTCTCTAAGCGCTTTACAAATATACTATTACCCCGGTCATTGGATTCAGTGCTTGCCCGCACACACTGTGTGCACAATCTCCACTCCCTGGGGAGCATTCCAGCCAGGCGTTACTTGATGCTCAAAAACTGTTTGCTACAGCTTCGTAACGGTAGCCGTGCTAAGGCCAGGGTAATAACCTCCCTCTGTTCCTCAGAATAGTTTACTAGATCGACGCGGCATAATAAATGCTGTACATATCATTATTATTATTATCAAAACCATTATTATTTACCTCGATTGAGTGTGTACTACAACTACGTTGCAATTAATATTAATAAATACTGTAGTATTATTATCATTATTACTATTATCGAAACCATTATTATTTACCTCGATCGAATGTCTACTACAACTACATTGCCAGTCCTATTAAAAAATGCTGTAGTATTATTATCATTACTATTATCGATAACATTATTATTTACCTCGATCGAGTGTCCACAACAACTACGTTGCCAGTCTATTATCGATAACATTATTATTTACTCCCTCTCTCTCACATGGTGCACCCGCAAGCCTACTGTATATTATTATTTACCTTGATCGAGTGTCCACAACAACTACGTTTCCAGTCCTGTAATGCTGTGTGACAAGGAGAGAGCTACCATCTGCCGACATGAAATCAAAGTAGCTGGTCCAGATGAACTCATCTTCATCTGCTCTATATACCTGATAGAGGAAAAATAGAAATCAAAGAGTAAATTTGTTAAGTTTATTTATTTTTGTTTGTTTGTTTATTCATCTATGTTTTTAATGTACTTACGTTATAGAGTACCGAAGCTGTGACGTCATAAAAATCTATTAGGAGCCAGAGCATATAACACTGAGTTCCTGTAGAACATATATTTTTTCAGATGGTCATATCTCAGCCAATACTTAACATATTCAATTGGTTTTTAGAAATTTGGATATTATTTTTGATGCTCTTTCGGAAAATGAAGAAAAATTTGAGAAATTCTAAACTTAGATTTTTGATGACGTCACACTTCACCACTCTATATGGTGATGGTGGTTCTTTTACCTGACTGCTAAGAAAGCATAAATGCTTGTAAGTAAGCAACCAGACGGCCGAGGGACCTGGTAATGAGGATTGATGCCTTACCAAAGGGCACTTTTTTCTGACTCACTCTGTACAGGTTTGACTGTATCACTAAAAAGTAAGAGTAAGCTGCTCTGGGTTAACAATTCATACCTCGTCAAAAACAGCTTTGGTGAAGTCGCCACATCGAACTGTTCCATCATATGAAACAGAGAAGAGCTTGTTAGGATCGCTGGGTGAGAATCGAAGGCATTTCACTTGGTTGGTGTGCGGAGCGAACAGGAAGACACCATCGTCACCTTTCAAGGAATTCTGGGACGGTACAAGAACAAAGATAATGTGAAGATATCAAAGAGCCTGGAGTTACATGTACATGTATAAGTACTATTATATTCCACATACTAAGAATCTTGCTCTACGATTGGTCAAAAGTAAATCATGTGATACAAGATAGTTCGCCTATCATTTATGGGAGAAGAAAAGTTTGTTGCACTGTGTAGATAGTAGTACTATCTAAATAGTGCAACACACTTTCACTGAAGATAGAAGTACTATCTACACAGTGCAACACACTTTCACTGAAGATAGAAGTACTATCTACACAGTACAACGCACTTTAATTGTATATGTTGCGTTTTTGCTCACCTCTTTAAGCTCTTTTAGTATTAGTACGCAAACTTTGGTCACGCACGAACTATGGTCACACCACCATGCTGCATACACTGTACGTTTCGTACACCGTTTGCTAGCTTTTAATTGATGACTGTCTTGTTGCTTTGAAATAACTGAAGAAGTGAAATGTTTCTGATGTGGAATATAAAGCAAACTAGCAGGACCTGCGGAAATCCGCGGGATTCTAGAGGGGGGCTGGGGATGTAAATAGATATATAGAGACTGTCTAAATTAAAACCACCAAGAACTTTATTTGCCATTCAGGCCATTAAAAAAATATACATGTTTAGCGTCCCCGCCCGCTTCCATTTTTGGGGGCTGCCTCCTATTTTTTTTTTTTTAAATATTTTTTTAAATATTTTTTGAAAGAAAAAAAAAAACAGCGTCCCCGCCTGCTTCCTTTTTGGGGCCCGCCTCCTATTTTTTTTTTTTTTTTGATTTTTTTTTTTGATTTTTTTTTTGAAAGAAAAAAAACATGAAAAGCACTGCTAAATTGTATTTCTGATTTTAAAAAAAAAAAAAAAAATTGTCGGCCGCCATCTTGAAAAATAGCCAGAATGTCAGGGAAAATGTACGGAGCGGCCATTTTGAAAGAAAAAAAAAAAAAAGGGCCTCCTCCTTCCCATTTTTCAAAAAAACAGGACGCTAAACATGTTTTTTTTTTGATTGGCCTTATATAAAAAAAAAAACGATCCAACTGTACTTGTAGTTATTCTTTAAGCCACTGGAACTGCGTAGAGTTCCGTAGTGTGGCGTACCGACTACGCAGAAATTAGGCTGCGTATTAATGGGAAAATAGTCCCTGCGTAGGTTATGCGTAGGCTGGCGTACAGGTTTGCTTATGGTTGCTTACTGTGTAGAAAGCTTTTACTGCTTTGACGATCTGGCGTAGGGTAGCGTACTGTTGCGTAGTCATGTAGCGAAGTGTTGCGTAAAAAGGCGTACTTTCTGCGTCAAGTTTCTACGCCGTAACTACGCGAAAAAATTAAACATGTTGAATTGTTTTCGTTCATCTTGCGTACCTCTTTCCGTCCCTCAGCATATAGTAACGTAGGCCAGCGTAGTTGGTACGCAACACTACGTAACTCTAGGTATTGACCCCACGCCAATTAGTGACCCGCAGGTGTCACAAATAAAGTATTAAAAATATGCTCATCTGACCCTAATTAAACGCCTAAACCCCCCGAGCTTTCGGGGGTTTATGGCCCCTTGAAACCCGTGGACCCCACGCCTATATTGTATATACACTCAACTCGCCGCGATCTGATCTCTCCCCCCCCCCCCCAACTTTGAAGAACGTAACCCCCGAGCTTTTGAGGGTTTATGGCCCCTTCCCTCGGAAATCCGCGGGATTCTAGAGGGGGGGGGGCGCAGGCAAAAAATTAAGTTTTTTCATTTCGGGGGCTCCAATTCAAATTTTTGGGAAGTTTTCGGGGGCTACTTTTTCAACTTTCGGGGGCTCTTTTTTCTGGGGCTACTTTTTCATTAATTCATAAAAGGATAGGCCTACACTTTGTTGAGATTTGTTCAGTAGGCTGAGGTTTCAGGCTTCCTACTTCATAATTGCCTATTTAAAAAAAAAAAACATTTTTCTAGTTCAATAACTAAGTTTTCATGCATTGATTTGATGCAAGAACTGTAACATAATTAATAGACCGTAGATTGTGATTATTTCTGACCATGAATTTCGATAATCATTTTTCAAAGTAAAATTTTCACAAGAAAATCAGACAGTCGTTTAAAAACGTAGACATCAGTAATACTTTTACTAATTCGAAGCTCAGGTTTCGTAAATCTATTCACGAAACTATATTGAAATCGCGGCAATAATGATGCAAACCAACAGATAACAATTTCAAAGTGTCAAATCTCTTCGACTCGAGCTCAGCTCAGCTGAACTCACACACACTCCAGCGTAACTCCAGGAAGCTCGAACACCGACGCCACAGGCCTCGGACGTCTGCGGTGCGCGGTGCCGGTGTTACACTGCACTGTGTGTACTGTATGTGTGAGGACTGAAGGCAGCTTGCGACTGAACTGTCAGTCCGATGGTTTTCTTGTGAAAACTTTCCTTTAGAAAATGATAATCAAAATGTAGTATACATAACCGTCATAATCACAAAATAAGCTTTGATTTCATACCTCCATTCACGAAAACTATATAAAAATCGCGGCAATAATAGCCAATTCCACAGAGTAGACTCTCCCGCGGACGATGGCACCGGGCACGGGTACCCCGAGGGGAGGGTTCAGGAGGAGATAGCTGCACCAACTTCGGTCGGCGATCTCATTAAAAAACAAAAGAATACAAAGGCTGGCGGAGACATCGCACCCCCCGCGGAGCCTTAGCGTATTACTTATATAGATAATCACCTTTTGGTTTCAGGCTATGACAAACTATAACCTCTCGGTGATCTGGATGTATACGCTATCTTTCCTAAGCCTCGCTTCAGAAAGATAGCTACATCCAGATCGCCTCGGAAACGATAGTTTGTCCTATCACCTTCACCAACGGTAATTATTTGCTTACTAGTATGTTATATCATAGCCCCCTCTGGCCCGTCGGCTTGTTTCCCATGACAAATAGAACTGTACTTCTGTAAAGTTTTAAACCTGAATTACTGGAAAAGACGTGTGAATTATTTTGCTATCCCACGGCCATAAAAGGTAACTGCCTACTCACCACATCCCAAAGTCCAATCTTGCCCCACCTATCTCCAGCCACTACGATGGTCTTCTTGACCGAGGGATGAACAGCGACGGAGAAGATGCGGCTCGGCACCACCTTAGCCATGTATTGAGGCTTCATCTTCATCTTCTGCAGTTTTGAGATAAACCTTTCAAAAAGGATTAAAAAGATCATTAATGACAAAGGAGGAGGAAAAGACGAAGAAGAAGAAAAAAAGAAAAAAAGAGAAGAGAGAAGAGAGAAGAGAGAAGAGAGAAGAGAGAAGAGAGAAGAGAGAAGAGAGAAGAGAGAGAAGAGAGAAGAAGAGAGAAGAGAGAAGAGAGAAGAGAGAAGAGAGAAGAGAGAAGAGAGAAGAAGAAGAAGAGAGAGAAGAGAGAAGAGGAGAAGAGAGAAGAGAGAAGAGAGAGAAGAGAGAAGAAGAGAGAAGAGAGAGAGAGAAGAGAGAAGAGAGAAGAGAGAAGAGAGAAGAGAGAAGAGAGAAGAGAGAGAGAGAAGAGAGAGAGAAGAGAGAAGAGAGAAGAGAAGAAGAGAGAGAAGAGAGAGAAGAAGAGAGAAGAGAGAAGAGAGAAGAGAGAAGAGAGAAGAGAGAAGAGAGAAGAGAGAAGAGAGAAGAGAGAAGAGAGAAGAAGAGAGAAGAAGAGAGAAGAGAGAAGAGAGAAGAAGAAGAGAGAAAGAGAGAAGAGAGAAGAAGAGAGAAGAGAGAAGAGAGAGAAGAGAGAAGAGAGAGAAGAGAGAAGAGAGAAGAGAGAAGAAGAGAAGAAGAGAGAAGAGAGAGGAGAGAGAAGAGAGAAGAAAGAAGAGAGAAGAGAGAAGAGAGAAGAGAGAAGAGAGAAGAGGAGAAGAGAGAAGAGAGAAGAGAGAAGAGAGAAGAGAGAAGAGAGAAGAGAGAAGAGAGAAGAGAGAGAAGAGAGAAGAGAGAAGAGAGAGAGAGAAGAGAGAAGAGAGAGAGAGAGAAGAAAAGAGAAGAGAGAAGAGAGAAGAAGAGAGAAGAGAGAAGAGAGAAGAGAGAGAGAGAGAGAGAGAAGAGAGAGAAGAGGAGAAGAAGAGAGAAGAGAGAAGAGAGAAGAGAAGAAGAAGAAGAGAGAAGAGAGAGAGAGAAGAGAGAAGAGAGAAGAGAAGAAGAAGAGAGAAGAGAGAAGAGAGAAGAGAGAAGAGAGAAGAGAGAAGAGAGAAGAGAGAGAAGAGAGAAGAAGAGAGAAGAGAGAAGAGAGAAGAGAGAAGAGAGAAGAGAGAAGAGAGAAGAGAGAAGAGAGAAGAGAGAAGAGAGAAGAGAGAAGAGAGAAGAGAAGAGAGAAGAGAGAAGAGAGAAAGAAAGAGAGAAGAGAGAAGAGAGAAGAGAGAAGAGAGAAGAGAGAAGAGAGAAGAGAGAAGAGAGAAGAGAGAGAGAGAGAAGAGAGAAGAAGAGAGAAGAAGAGAGAAGAGAGAAGAGAGAAGAGAGAGAAGAAGAGAGAAGAGAGAAGAGAAGAAGAAGAGAGAAGAGAGAAGAGAGAAGAGAGAAGAGAGAAGAGAGAAGAGAGAAGAAGAGAGAAGAAGAGAGAAGAGAGAAGAGAGAAGAGAGAAGAAGAGAGAGAGAGAAGAGAGAGAGGAGAAGGAAAGAGAGAAGAGAGAAGAGAGAAGAGAGAAGAGAGAAGAGAGAAGAGAGAAGAGAGAGAGAGAGAAGAAGAGAAGAGAGAAGAGAGAAGAGAAGAAGAGAGAAGAGGAGAAGAGAGAAGAGAGAAGAGAGAAGAGAGAAGAAGAGAAGAGAGAAGAGAGAAGAGAGAAGAGAGAAGAGAGAGAGAGAGAAGAGAGAAGAGAGAAGAAGAGAGAAGAGAGAAGAGAGAAGAAAGAGAGGAAGAGAGAAGAGAGAAGAGAGAAGAG